TTATATTCCTATCACAAGATCTCCCATTATTTTAAGTTGGCTACAATTCAACTCTGAAGAAACAAACACATGCACACATACAATGGTTTCTATGAAATGCTACTGTTAAGAAAAACTATTATAGAAACTTTTTGATGCATCTTCAGAATTTTAAAATGGTATTTCCAAGAAGTGTACCCATTAATATTTATCTCTCTAGTATTTCCTGTCAATTTTTTTTCCTCAGCTGTCCTTCACAAATGAAAATCATCAATTTTATTTAGAAGAAAGGCTCGGTAAGGGAATTTAACCACACATTACAAAGTACAACATTAAATAATGTCATACTTTATCAGACCAATTCTTCATTTTGAATTCCATAAATATTTAAAACTATGACTGAATTGAATTAAATTCACACATCCCACCCTCTCCTAGCAACACAATAAACTCTAATTTATAGCTTTAAGGAGAGTGATTTAGTCATTACTTTGTTGTCACTACTACTGACTTAAGAAAATTCATACCACAATCCTCCTGGGTAAAAAATATCTTAAATTATTTCAATGGTAAGCAAGCGGTTTTAGGACCTGAGAAGAAAGAGACCAAAGCTTGACCTTGACAACCAAGCCACCCTTGTACTCATCTGAGACCCTTGAGTTATAATTAGCTCAGTAATCTTAGCATCTGACCACCTGCCATCTACCAAACAGGAATCACCAACAGTCAAAAATTTCCAACACATGGAATGATGACAGACCACAAATATTTTTAAGCAGTACAGATATATTTATATGGCTTTCCCTGAAATACAATACTTCAATTTTTAAGAATAACGGATATTTTTACATAGCTTAGATAATGGCATACTCATAATTGTGAAAATACTTCTAGAATTACAATATTAAGCATCTAACCAGCCTTAGTTGGCTGGCTAGACAGTATCAGTCTCTTCACCATTTATAAGTTTCCAAACATTTAGGGAGACAGTTCTCAGAACTTTTTTTTTTTTTTGGGGGGGGGGTTCAAGACAGGGTTTCTCTATGTAGTCCTAACTGTCCTGGAATTAACTTCATAGACCAGGCTGGCCTCAAACTCACAAAGATCTGCCTGCCTCTGCCTCCCGAGTGCTGGGATTATGGACATTTGCACCACCACTGCCCAGAACTTTTTAAAAGGAAATTTTTAAAAGGAAAATTCCAAATGGCATCCATTGACAAACCTAGCAAAACCCCACAACTGTTGGTGATACTACCTCTAAATACGACAGGTGGGAAAGAGGTAGTGTTCACTTATTTAGAAAAGTGGAGGCCCTACAATACTCCCAGCAACAGAGAAAGCCCCATAGATAAACAATTTCACAAGTAGGTAAGAGAATACAGCAGCTTGATACCATGCTTCCAGCTCTAAAAGCATCACCCCAAGAAAGTACAGATTGGCTCCTGAAGAACACAGACTTAGGGAAACATGCAAAGAAACTTAGGCCTTTATTGCCAGTAATGGCATAGAGAACTCACCTCTCTAAACAGTATTAAGTGTTTTTATTAAGTGAAAACCTCCCACTAACTTGGTATTGTTTAAGTGGCTAAGAAAAAAGACAGCTAGTTTTCTTATAAAACGAGTGCTTAGATTTGAAGTCCAGCCAAGTGTAGCACCCCTATGTTCCAAATCGCCCAAAATGTGCATGCTCAATGAATAGTTCATAATACAAAGATCTACTGGACCCCAAGTATGTACCTTAAGGGAAATCCAATATAGTGCAATGCATACCATGAGCATTCAAGGGGAAAAAAAAAAAACTGTTGTTAACTGAACTTTAAAAATGAAACTTGTATATTACCACCATACTATCCAAACTTTACCCTGCCCTGCCCTACCCTCCCCTTCAGCCCCTATAAAGGGTTAGTATTTTTCTTTTAAATATACCAACTTTCAAGTAATCAGACCTGTATATTAAATCTGGAATATGAAGACCAGAACTGTCTATTTATACTCTGTTGCTGGCATGTCAGGTAAGAATGCTATCTGAAAAGTCATAACTATTTTATTAGTTACTGGACACACGGTATTTGCCTAGCTCAGTCACTTAATACAACACCCTATTTCAACTTCTCAATAACCCCAAGGCATTAAGCACTAACTCCCAGTGGAGGAGGTGGGGACATAAGACTGAATCCAATGCCTCACCCTTGCTAAGCATGGGCTTAACCAGTCAACTATATTCCCAATCCAATATCCAAATTGTTGTTGTTATTTTGAGCTCCCACCCCTATCCTGAGACAGGGTTTCTCTGTGTAACAGCCTGGCTGTCCTATAATTTACATTGTAGACTGGGTTGGCTTCAAACTCACAAAGATCCACCTGCTTCGGCCTCCTGAGTGCTGGGATTAAAGGTGTGCGACACCAACATCCAAATTTTACCAGGTAGAATCTAAGGTTCAGGAAAGTGTCTAAAGTCACCTTTCAACAACAGGAGTCAAATCTAAGTCCATGACCTTTCATCTTTCTCAGTATTTATGCAATTTAAAGTATGTCATTAAAAAAAAAAACTACAACCAAAAACACAGGATTGGATAACCTATTTTAAAAGCATATGGAACATTTTAAATTGTGGGCATTTGCTGCTTGTGACAAATTCTTTTAAAAGATCTACTCTCAAGAAACTGTATTTTCCCCAGAGATATATTATCTTTGTCAACAGGAAATAGTAGTGTACTTGGAGAATAGGTCATTCCTCGATTTTTTTTAAATTTATTGATTTGTATTTTATGTGCATTTTTGTTTTGCTTATATGTATGTCTGAGGGTTCCAAATCTCCTGGAACTGGAGTTATAGTCAGTTGTGAGCTGCCATGAGGGTGCTGGGAATTGAACCTGGGTCCAGCACTCCTAACCTCTGAACCATCTCTTCAGCCCCATAAAATTTTTAATATAAGAAGCAACAAAGATGTTGGAAAGGACAGGAGTTTTAAACAACTCATAAATTTGAGGGCTTCTCACCAGCTCATCTTTGGACAAGATACAACTTTCATCAGCTGTAAAGTCATGAAAAAAAGTACCTCCTATGGCTCTTCAGAAGCTTAAATGAGACCATATATGAAAATAGTCACGTCCTAACATTTGTTAACACGTTCCTTATGAAACAGCATAAGCAGAGTACCAATGAGCAGAAGGAAACATCTGTAACTTCTGGGAGGAGGGGGTCAAAGAACTGAAGTGCTTAAAAAAAAAAAAAGAATTTTCTAACTGGTACACTTGAAAACTGATATGTGTAGACAACTCTGAAATTAGCCAATTAGTTTTGTCATTTGTAACAGTAGCCAAGGTAAACACATAGATGGTTCATACTTAAAGTACAAAAATTATGCAATGATAAAAAGCATGACTGAGTTATAAACATTTACAGCATCATCACTGTGTGCAAAAGAAAAACTACTACTCCAAGTAAAAGTGGCTAGCAAATAAAGCAGATGGCCACTTGGGTTTCATCATGGGAGTCAAGAGTCACAACTGAGCTTATGGTTTAGTTAATACAACTGTGATGATTTCTTCATTTAACGGTGCAACTTCTTGAAAAATGTACAAGTATTTCAAAATAAAAGGCTTTAAAAAAAGTGGATAAAAAAGTAAAATGATAGATGTCAACAGCCACTTGGGTATACTTGATTTAGAAATCTGAAGATGGCCTCAACAGCAAAAACTGTAAATGTGTATCAACTTTGTAAGATATCCTAAAAATACTATCTACATGGAATATCTTGACTATAATACTTTTTAGATTCCCAATATAAGAAATTTGTTTGCTTTTCTCTAGTGTATTCTTACAAAATACTGGCTTTATGGTACTTACAAGACCAATAAACTTCTAGGTTATCTCTCCCTTCTTAATTTTGATTAAGACATTTATTAAATCAGAACATAAGAAGCATCTGTAACATATAGCATAATGTGAACTTCAAAACAATGACAAAAATGACATTTCTGAGCTTAGTGCTAAAGTCAGGCAGGCATAAGGGTCCCATCTGTTTCCATAATAATGAAAGCAGTCAGATTCTTTTAATCTATTACACAAAATTTAGGAAGAATTAATAAAGTGAGGCATAACTCAGTAGGGCATTTTCATTCCCAGGGTCAAATAATGGGCATCGCTAGCAAAACTACAAAAAAAAAAGTACATCTACAGTAACTGAGAATCACATATTAAGTGGTTGAGAACTTAACTAGCTGTGTTAAGCAAGATGGCTGAAGCTTTCACACACCGGGGTCTGGAAGGAAAAGAGTTGCTATAGAGTTAGTGTCAGAAGTTTAAGCCAGCACCAGTCGAAATGTGTATACCACACACTTATTCCGGCAATGACACAGTGTAGTTAGTTGATGGGTATGTGCTAAACCCTTTCTTTACACACATACAGAATTGAGGTGTTAATTGTAAAATTCAAAGAAATCATAATCTTTCTATAGTTCAAAGAAAAGAAAAGGCAAACAGCATTGCAGCAAAGTCGTTTCTCTGACTGAAATGACCTCCAGTATCTACGAACTACTCCCGATTTCGCAATACATGAATCTTAGACTCAATCCACGTACACACAGAGTACAAGTGAAGAACGGTATAGCTTCCTCAGTAGTCTTGGCAAACCCATCTTGCCTGCCCCAAGCCCTCTGGGTTTCCTTTTCCCATAAAGATAACTTATCATCGACCACAAGAAGGGAACAAGAATTAATCAGGAGGCAAAATCTGTTTTAATTATTACAGTCACTATCACGTAGTCAGAATACTATTAAAACTGATTTTACGATGGCAGAACTAACCCCTGCAGGGCACAGGAGCATAAATATACTACGTATATGAAACGCCAACCCAGAAAGCAACGCAAAGCAGCTCAGATATCAATTTAGCCAAAAAGATTTGGGAAACGACATCCCAAGTGAACATTTCCAGTTCCAAACCGCCCACTAATCTGGAGACTACCAATACCCAAATTCGGACGAAGCAGCCAAGAGATAAGAAGTAAAATGTCTTACCTTGCACAAATCTCGACATTTTCGGGTTATATTAAAATAATCTGGTTTATAATTTTCAATTTCTCGGAGTTGCGTTATAAGGAAGGTCTCCCTTCCTTTCAAGCAACAACCGATGTGTTCTTTCTCCTCCGATGGTTAGCTACTTAAGGAACTATTCGTACAAAACGATCAAAAACTGGACTTAAAAAAAAAAATCCAAAAGACGGAAACTTGGTGGGACCGAGTCAGCTTGGAACTCCTGGCTACTCTGCGATCCCGACACCAACAGGGACCCGACTGGAGACTCCGGAAAAGGTAAAACCACACCAACTTAAATTTCATCAATGAAGAGGCGGACCCAGAGCGGCGTTCT